CCGTCTATTAACCCTTTTACGAACGTTTCTGCCAGTCTTTTTCCGATTGATTTAAATTTTTAACCTGACTGATCTCGACGAGAAATTGAATCGTTATTTAGTTTCAGGAAAAAAGGTATCGGATAGTGAGAGGTATGCTGCCGTGCTAAAGAGGAGCGCCGTAAGAACATTCGAGAGTTGCCAAATTTCCTTCGATAAAAAGCTCATTTTTGAGGAAAGTTATGAATATTTTTCCTTGCAATTTTCAGGAACTTTAGGGGAAATTGCGAGCAAAATTATCTTAAAAATTGGAAAGAAAATATTCATAAGTTTACCAGGAATTTCGTGTTTTATCAATGGAAATTTGGCAACGTTGGAGGTTCTTACGGCGTTTTTCCTTAGTACGGCAGTATGCCTCGGGTGATTTTAAGAAAAGCCAGACTATAAGATGGAATCATCCGGAAAGCAAATTACCGGGTTAGATTCAACGGAAGTAAAACTTGAACTCGCTTATTGGATCTGTTCCTACGTGACGCACCTGAAGGGATGAAGGAGGATCTCAGGCAACGTTATCGTCTTATATAGAGACATTTGAAACTCTCATACGGGGGAAGGAAAGTGCGTTTTCTGATGTTGGAACACTTCTTACAGCATTGTGGTTTGATATCTAAATTGTACAGATTGGCAAAAAGTAATAAAGTCTGTAAGCACCAGGGATCGAGGTAAACGTTTGAGAAGAGCCATAATTACCACTACTCAAGACTTGATCCCCTGAAAAATACGATTGATGACGTCATTCACCGCATTAGTGTGGTCTTTTGCACGACAATTTCATCAATTTGGGGTAAAATAATTTGTGAGCCGGTTGTAATTTAGTCGTTTCTCTTACAAAGGAACGTAACTACATTTCAATGTTGCCAAATTTACTCTTGAATACCGCATTTTTACCGAGAGAATCTCTTGCACTTCTTACAGAAAATTTCACTGATATACCTTCTGATCTCATGCAAAAATCAGATACATTTTGGGGGAAACGTTCCCAGGTATATTCCTGTAGAAAATTGAATTGTTCGAATCAATTTGCAACATTGCAATTGAGTTACCTCCCTTCGTCCGAGAGACGACGATTTGTGAAATGCATGATGAGACCTCAAACTTTTCTTTCCGTAGCAATGCACGTGTCAGATGACAGATCCAGGCCTAACGTGGAACTTTTTTATTTATTTTATTATTTTTTTTTTTTAATAAAAAAAAACAAAAGAAACATCGGAAGCCCTTTCCCCTGAGGGTGCGTTCCTTCTTCCGGCGAAGAAAATGTTTAACTTTATTATTTTTAAACAGCATAAACCCTAACTTAACCCCTGTAGGCTCATCTGGACTTAGATGGATGAATTATGGGCCAAGTTTCCGTAACAGCTAGGCTCACGGTGGAAAAAATTCGAGCCGGAGGCTCATAAATCGAGAGGCAGGGATCAAAATTTATTGGACAGTATCCGCGGACGGTGAGTGGACACGGGTTCATGAAAGCTGAATAGGTACCAAGACAGCGACCTGTTTTATGGTCATTTTATGCCGAGATCCTCAACAATGCACCCGAGAGGAAGGAAGAAGGGGTGGTGAATGCGCTCCAGTATCAAGTGGCATGAAAACATGTCCGAGAGGAGAGCTCAAGGATGAAGGAGTTTCCCTGGCCCTTCGGGCTCCCCCGCCCCACTTTTTTACCAGTGGGGTGGCGTGAATTGCGATCTATCGATTGTTATGCCGTTTAAACCTATGGCAAAGAATCGATTGTTAAGGTGTTCGCTGCGAACACCCTGTTTATCGATCCTTTTCCATAGGTTTAAATGTCATAACAATCGATACATCGCAATTCACGCCACCCCACTGCTTTTTACAGTCCGTTCACCCCGCAGTGGACGATATTGCACTTCGATCTATTGAATTTTCAACGTTTTCCCCTCGAAATGTGCGCGATCCTTCGAGATAATTATCGACGACCGATCTCCAGTTGTGGATCGTTCGATTAGGCAAATTCAAACGGACCGCGCCGTGTCGAGCCGCGAATGCAGCCCGACGTACAGAGTGAAGCGATGATGCCGAGTTTACGATAAGCAAAAGCTCTGCGCTCAAGAAAGATTCGGTTTTTGACGAGAGATCTTGCTGCTTTACCTTCGTCGCAGCTCACAGCTTGAGCTTTTGAGAGCGCGGGGCTCTCGCCATGACCAGATCCCTCGTAAAACATTTCCGGTGCCGTTCGCTCTTTGCATATCCTACTTTGCATGTATTTCTTCACGTCAAGTTGCCATGTCTGGCACGATATGCGCAAATATGTGTTAGATCGAAAATGTTGGGGAAACAATCCTAACAAAACGAGAAAAACGTAAAAGAAACATCGCAGGTGCTTCAAAATCTAAAAATGCATCCAAAAAGATACAGCCATTTGAAGAAAAAAAGTTTAATTCTAATTTTAAAATGTTACGTGTGTCATAAATACGACAAAAAATCATAACTTACACTTGCAAATGGTTTGATTTTTAATTAGTACTTACGTATTATAGTGTCTCATTTGCACACGCACAAAACGGTATCGTTCTCATCAGGGCTGGATTAAGGGGGTGGCCGCATGGGCCGCGGCCCATGACTGCAAAATGTAGGGGGCGGCAAATTTTGCAATCTTTTTGAATGTAGGTATCAAAAAAATGGAGGAAAAATCGGATTCAGAAAATAAATTACAAACGAGAGGAGACGACAAAATCTCTCATTTCCTGAGAGTAAAAGTAAAGTAATTTCTAATTTTGTCGTCTTTCGGTGTACAAAAGACATCACATTTAATTAGTCGAGTTAAGAGAGCAACCGAACACGCACAATTTGACCTGGCACGAAGCGGCGCGGCGGTCGGCATGAAACGCATAGCGCCTACAAGACTGCATGAATACTTCACGCATTGCGTCAAACACACTGCGGTCGGCTTGAAACGCATAGCGCCTACAATACTGCATGAATACTTCACGCATTGCGCCAAACAGTGTGGTCAGCAGCGGTCGGCGTGAAACGCATAGCGCCTACAAGACTGCATGGATACTTCACGCATTGCGCCATGCACGCAAGGAGGTAAATCCGGCCCTGGTTCTCATGCCTAAAGAGGAAGGTTAAATGGTACGTCATCTATATTTTAGTAGTTATAATACCGCTGCCCGGGTTGGTATCTAGTCATGCGAGAAAAAAGCCGTAACTCACCCAAAATCTAGGTGATGAAACTTTATAATCCACCTTTTTTCCTTGTGTTTTAAATGCTGCCTTTCCCAAGAGAGAATATGTATTAAAATTATCTTGATACATCATGGCTCTACAGAAGGAGATTTTTTTTTTCATAGTAACTGTCAAATTTGAAGGCAAAGAATGCATATGATTAGGCGGTAAAGGTTCTCTCACCTCTGCACCCTAAAATCTACCTCAAACGTAATCATTTTTGGAAATTTTTTCAAATATTTCACCAACTGACTTTCCCGCCATAAAAAATCTCTTAATACGCCCCTCAATAGATTTTCAATTTTACAACACATTTCTTCAGGCTCAATCTGACAACACCGCAATCCGCTTTTCCACGTCCCTTCCCTGGCCTTGCATCACTGGTCACCAAATGAGTTGGGCAAATAAATTCGAACAGCGTCGGAAATTACGGTAAACTGAAGAGCTTGGGTGGTTGACGGCGATAAAAGTGTCTCCTTTTTGAAGGGTTTAGAAGTTCCTCGAGGGATGTTTGAGTATGCGCGTTTTAAAGCTTCCCTTTTTGACGACTCAGTCGCGGGGTGGACAGCGGATTAAGTGCGAGAGCCCTTGAATTGACATTATAGACTAGCGAGAAGACATGCCAAACGGTCAAAAGCACTCCAACGTCAGGAGTCAGTCCTTTATTCGGGAAAGTAGTTGAAGCTCTTGGTGTATAAAGGAAATAAGTGACATTTTCGAAGAAATTGAGTGAGAGGGGTTTGGATCGGGCTTAATAGAAATGTACTAAGTCGCTTTTTGGAAAAAAATGCGTTGGGATTAGTTTTGAATTCAACTAATTGTAATCCCCCCCCCCTTAAAAATTCAAAGTCGAAAATAATATTTTGAACGTAAAAATATTCACCAAACTTCGTTCTATATTTTGAGCCACATGGAGAAATAAAATGTTGAAGTTCTCTGTCTCGGTTCAGTCTCGATGGGACTAGTTGCAAACCTGTTGGCTCAATTCATTTGGAGCTATAACTCCAAATTACTGTCAAATTAAGTGAATTTAGGGGAAAATATCGGTCTCGTAAACTCACTTTTCAACGCCTTAGTACTTATAAATTTTGTCTTTTTTTAGCCTTAAGACTCAATTACATGTGTGATTTTTCAACTCAAAGTACTTCTCTTCAAATCACAAATAATGCTAACCTTTCTTGTGCAGCGTTGACATCATATGCTTAATTGAAATACTCATGAACACAGCCATTTCCGTTTGAAATTATATGTACATGTATTCATGTACTTTCACCTTGTGGATTTGTCTTGTAACTGAGTCAATCACAATTTTTTTTTAAAATTTCACTCTTCACCCAACGTGACCTACCATTTTGGAGTATCACTTTGGCCTTTTTTATGAAAACTGCATCAGTATTTATAATTATTTCCATCTTCACTCTCATTTATGATCTATATACTTCATAATCGAGCCTTGCGCAATAATTTCGAAAAAGAACCAAAAATGCATTCTCTTAGGCCATAAATACTTTTTGCGGCAACTGGCAACCCAAATAGAAGAACGTTCATTGGGTTGCATCCTTAAACTTGCCATTATTCGATTCCATATCGTAAAAATGAGACTTTAAACAATTAAATGCTGTTTAAAGCGCACACTTGAATGTTCGGTTCTTACGGCTAATTTTTTAAAAATTTGCTCGTGGCCAAATGAAAGACTTTCAAGGGATAACGATAAAAAATGAAATTCTAAACGTGTATCAATGGATTTCTGATATAAAAAGAATCCTCAATTTTAATAGAGTATCTCACATTATTAATACACTTTAGAATACTCGAAAAAACGCCACAGACCATACAAGCGAACCGCATCTAATGCTCTCCATTTTGCCGAACAATCAATGTAATGTGTAAAACCTACTTTTTTAGGGTGATTGTAATTTTTTCTCGTTTACTCTCTATTTATTTTTATTTTTTTTTTAAAAATGATTAGCTCTTTTGCTCCACCTCATTAGATTAGAAAGGCCTGAGTGCACAACTTACAAACCTACACTCACCACGAAATAAACTGAAAAATTACCAAGTATTTATCAAGTGCCAAACTACGTCCTTCAGAATCCAGAAAAAATACTACCCCCTAAACGTGAGCACAGAATCATTCGCTGATGATCCTCAAAAAAATGACACCTCATGTTCGTGCCTTTCGGTGCATCGATCCTCCATTCATAGGAAATGCCCTGTTTTGACCTCCAGTCGCGTGATAAAATAACTTGCATTTGTCACTGTATTGACTCAATGACCGACTTTTGTCCATTGCAAACGTATCAGGCCCCTAGAAGAAAGGAAGTAAGATAACAGCGATGATGAAAAAAACACCGACCACCTAACTATTAACCGGCGTTTAACACAATGCGTATAAATCTCTCCGTCTCATAAAAAAAGATAATAGCAGACCCGATCGTAAAAATCTTAAAAGTCATGAAAGTTCCTGATAGAAATTCAACACCACAATACACGGAAAAGGGTATTATCGATAAATGCGCCCGCTATCGAGGAGGTAATCAGTTGAAACCTCATAAGTCTATTTTTAGATGAGACTCGGGCTCCACGAGAATGCTTATATTCTAGGGCTCATACATGGTCTATTTTAAAATCAGTTTTTGGTACGTGCGCGGCATTTTAAAAAAAACGGAATCGATGTTCGCTCTTTTGTTGGGGCCGGCGCAAACAACGGCACAAAGCCGGAATCAAGTCCCCTCCCGAAATATTAGGAGGCGGCCAGACCAGGTAGCGGCGGCGGCGATGTGACGTCACGGACAAAAGGAGGTGATATAATTAATAGCGACCTTGTTGCCACTCGAGGGGTCGGCCCCCGTAAGTGGGGTGCGAAAAATCGCGATTTAACGCGGGGGCCTCGGCTGATGAGGTCGGGCGTCGCGGACGATGACAGTCTTGCCAACACCACCGCAACAATGACGCAAATAGGTAAATAATGAACCTTGCCGTCGCGAATCGCCGAGAGCAATATTTTTACAGCCGCGAACGCAACCCCTTGACCGGATTCGCTGCGACGGATCCGTGCGCGACTCGCGAGGGGGAAGAGGCAGAGCGTACTTTTGACCGCTCATCCTACACAATACTCGCGTCCTAGCGCGGTCTTTAGCCCCCCCCCCCCCCCCCCCNTCCACACGACGGAATGACCACTACAATACTGCTGTGCTTAGGAAGAACGTCGTATTGGCTTTCAACGTTGCCAAATTTCCTTTGATAAAAAATGAGACTTCTGAATATTTTCCACCTCCAATTTGCAGACAATTTTTTCGCAATTTGCAGCTTCACAAGAAAATGCCCCGAAGTCTGCAAGTACATAATTTGAAAAAGAAAAAAAAAAGGAAAAAAAATTCTAGGCGCGTCAAAAAATTGTATTTTCAAACTCTGGCGGAAAAATGTCTGAAAGAGTGAGTTGCAAGCGACTTATAGGTCAATCATTTTTGGTGTGCCTATAGAAGCCGTAAACTTTCACTACAATTTCACCCGGTACATGACATGATATGATACGATTTCAAACATAGGTTTCTTCTCGAAGCCACACTTTTTGAGCTCCTGACTTCAAACGATCATTATTCCGGTTGGTTTTAAGTTTTTCTTATTTTTTTTCAGTGACAAATTATTAAGGTCCTTCGCAAAGATCCATTTCTAAAGTTATACGGCTGAATTTTACTCGAAGTTGGCAAAAATTCTCTTTTTTATGATGCTATTCTGAGGGCTTCCTTCTTCTAGGGAATGGAGCTGTTTAAATAAATACGACTCTCAGGCCTCTTGTCCTTTGGATAATCACATTTTCTCCAAATCACTCGTATCTGAAAATTTCAAGAAAAGCAATATGTCAATCAAAAATGCATTCTGTGGTAATTTGGCAACGTCCAAATGCACATACGGCGTTCTTCCATCATACAACAGAGCGGAGTGAGCTAACACCGGCCCCGCGCGGTTCTGGCGCGTGAAAAATCCCGCTCTCGCGTTTCGGCCGTGCAAAATCGTCGCTCCTGCCCGTTTTTCGGTTGAAATTTAACTGGGCAAGCCGCACGGGCGTCGTTGTTTTGATTTATTTTTTAACGCTGGATAGCGGGATTTTAAAGGGCGTAGAGTGTCCCCGTTCCGGTCGCCATCCCTCGTTCGGCCACCCGAGCTTCCAAGGGCCGATCTTTTTCAATCCCTGCATTGGTCACAGTCCATAACTTGAGGGTCTCATTCCACGCACTTCAGCGCATGGCTAGCACATGCCGTTTGCCTCTCCTGACTCCGCGCTTCGTGTTGTATTAAAAATGTATTTATACGTATTTTTTTTTTAAATCGTTGCGTTTTCTGAATCAATGTTTATTGCTGTCTAATGCGTATGAGTTTAATTTGTTTGTGGGCTTTTGTTGGCGCACTTGACTTCAAAGTTTACTTTCAGCCGCTACTGAACTGTAAAAAATGGGTCACTGAAAAACAATTACACTGGCTGCCGGAGGTTTGAAGGTAATTCAGCTCAGTAAATGTATAACTTATTTATTCAATTTTTTACATTCTGTGTTCACAGTTTTCGCTCTGGACATACAAGAATTTAAATCGGTCAGCTGCGCTTTACGAGAAATCGAGTTTCCTTGAATTAAGGAAATTAGCGAAATTTACACACGAAAAAACTCCAGGCGTGGATTGAACTCATTTAGCAACTATAAGAATCGATGCTATCAAAAATCTTGAGTAAAAAAGAAGAAAACAATATTGTCTCAGACTTCTTGGAAACTTATCGCGTTTTGCGTCGACTTCTAATTTCTACGAAGCCCCCAGCCTTCCACCGGAAACGAGTTATATATTGGGACTGACTCCAGCCATTGACACGTCAATCGTTAAAAATATACACTGTCATGTTTGATATAAATTATACGCAGTTCATTTTAATAAATGCAGGATGTTTCATCGAGTTGCAGAATTATCAGTGACTGATAAGAGTGAGAAACTCTGCGTAGGCTTCGCTTCGAATACAGTAATCAGTTGTTTGAGGTACACATAACTATGAAAGTCGCAATACCCTTGTGCATCATACTACCGTTTGTGGCGGCATTTCTGTCAACCCCTCTGGAAGACATCCCCGACTCTTCAAATGGACGTAGTTCTACCAAAGAGACCTATGTGGAAGTGAGAAATATGGGGTGTGCTCGTTAGTCTCTGGCCGTAAGAGTGAATGAGAATAATAAAGCGCCAGTGACGTCAGCGGCAATGAAAAAGCGGGGGTGAGACGGCGACGTCGTCGTTGGAGCTCCTTAACTCATGAGCCCTGTCCACAACGCTTTCTTGCCATGCCCGCGGCTCATGAGTTCCGCACTCAGCTCCACATAGGTCTCTTTGATAGAATGCAATATCCCGCTTTCCCGATTCTTCAAAAGGAACCACGCCCACTGACCACATTGCTTCTTATGCAGATTTCTAGAGCACACCCCACATTTCTCATCGCCACATAGGTCTGTTTCGTAGAAATACGTCCAAATGTAAGTGTAAATACAATAACTGATCATAATTTATTTTTTTATTTATTTAATTTCGGTTCTTACATAAGTTAATCATACCTCAGATTAGGTTTATCAATACAAGTCAAAAATTTTCATTTCAAACTCATTTTTCATTCTGTAATTTTTAATATGTTTTGTAATTTCATAATTTATATTTATTTTCAAAAATTCTTTTCAGTTTAAACATTTTGTCTCAATTTTAGAAGACTTTTTTAGATTGAAGAATGCCGGTTTTTGACAAAGGATCAGTTCCTTTTTCTGAGGACGGTAGTTATACCCTCCTTATTTTTCTTTTTTCATAGCAATTATTCTTATACATTAATAAATATTACTGATAATCAAAGTGAAAAGGTAAAATTAGTCTTTCATTGAATTTCTTTAGACTTCCTTTTTTCCAATTTAAAAACCCTGTTCCACAAAAGGATTAAAATTGAACTTTTGATTAACTATAATTACTAAAAAGTATTACGATAAAACTATATGCTACTTCATAGAGGATAGCTAAAATAATTTACACAGTTTTATTGACTGATCTAAAATATCTATATTCTACCTGAAACTAGGATTCAGTTTAATTGCTTTTTTTTTTTGAAAAAAAATAACTTTTAAACAATTTTTTATTGCAATAAAAACGGTTATTTGTTAGCTATTTTAATCAATGTTTTATAGTTCTTTTACGTGTTATTTTTGTACAGTCCTTTTTTGACGTTATTTCTTAAAATTAATAATTAAAAGATGTATTTTGATGTGTTTTGAAGGGTCACCTCATGCCCTTGGTGCTGGAAAAGGAACCATCCAAGAAACCACCCGAAATAAAAAAAACGGTGAGTATGAATGAAATAAATGATAATTTTTTGTTTTCATAGAATATTTGGGTTCAATAAAGCAAGAGATAATTCCGCTACAAAAACAACTTTTATCACAAAAGTGCCGAGAATGCAACACTCTGATGTACGGATTTCGTTATTTGTAGAGTTTCAATGTTTATTATTTATTGAAAGTCTGACCTTCCGATAAGTGATCCGTTTTAGGAGTTCCACATCAATTTCGAGAGGAAAAATGGCCCGCCAAAAAAAGGATTTTTGAGTCAAACGCATTGTAAGTTTTAAGACACTAGGGGCGTGGCATCTTAAAAGTAGTGACTTCAGTTAATTTTTCGCTGCTGCAGTTGCCAACCGACCACTGGACACTGGTGCATATAATCTTATTTCAAGCTTTCAGCTGTATTTAACCTTGAGTGTCTTAAAATCTAGTCAAACTTAAAATGAAATTGCAGATGAAGAGATTTATAATCCAATGAAACCGGTCCTTGATGCAATTCAAAGTGATTTCAAATTTTGCTGCATGTTGGAATTTTGAAAACCCTTAAGGTGACCAGGACATTAACTTATTGTTAATAAAAAATGCAACTGCGTTTCTTTCAACCAAAATAACTACAATTGTGCTTCAATTTTGTCAATATAGAGAACCAACAATGATGAGGTCGAAGGTACAGAAATGGAACAAATGCTTCATGGTCAGGCCAGGTGGATGAGTAATATTAAAGATGAGGGTTTGCGTGAAGAAGCTATATTCAACGCATTGAAGGCAGAGAAGATTCAATCCAAAATTAATGGGGAACTTTCTGCAAGAGTTGTAAGTCGTAATTTTTTATGTATTTTGAGTTTTTGACAGACTAATAAATTGTGTAAAAGAGAGAATAGAAAGGAAAATTTTACTAGTCAATAATCACTTTTGAAAGTTCAAAATTGGTTTGTTTAGACAAATTAGATACTATAAACTCACGGTAATTTTTTTATGTAAATAATTATTAGGTTCACAGGCTTATGAGGCCACGAATGCCTAACTGCTTTTCTGATAGATTTATTTTCATTTCAACCCCATATCTGTCAGACAAATTTTTCGGTGATTAAATTTGACCGTTTAAATTTCGAAAAATTATTTTCAAAAAAACTTGGGGGCCCCCCGCCCCCCCCTGAGGGGGAACGAAAATTTTGCCCCCCCCCCACCATAAAAAAAGATAGTCCCCTTTGAGATAGGATCATTCCCAAAGTTTCATTACCCTAGCTTAATTCGTTCAAAAGTTAGCAGGGGTGGGACGGACTTTTGGTACACTCTGTATGTCTCACGCTATTGACATTGGATGCAAGTCCCATGAGCTTTAATAGCTCTAAAACATTAAAAGTTCGGGGTTCCTTACTTTATTGCACATCTACAGCTATTACAGATGATATGCATGTAAGGATCATCCTTATTGGTCCGGTAGTTCGTCAGAAATAGAGCTTCCAATATTTTGCTTGTAACATGTACCTGTATGATATACAGGGTTATTCAAAAGTTACGCACCACTGTGGCCATAACTTTAGTTCTAATTATGATATCGATTTGCGGTTTGTGGCGTCCTTCCTCATATCGAGGGGGAAACTTTTCGAGGTACTTTCCAGTTCTTCATCCCCCCCAGGGGGAGGGGGGGCGGGGGGCAACTCGAAAATTTCAAATGGCAACCCCCATCATGTGATACATCGTTAGAAAGAGCATGAAAAAAGAAAATTTTTAGCGCAATTCGGAAGTCGATCTGACCCCCCTATCAAAAGTTAGGGGGGTCCAAAGGTTATTTAAGGGGTCCGTATCTTCATTTTTTAGAGTAGCTTCGGCGGCTCTTGGACATACCGTTTCTCTTTTCAAAGAGTCCTCGAATACTCTAAGTCTGATACCGAAGTCTTCATATTGCCCCCGGGCCACCACAGGCCCCCCGTAGGGGGGAATGGGTCTGTTACAATGAAAAACTGCATTAAAATACGAAAAGTCACAGAAGTGCTTCAAACTTAGCATCAAATCCGAGTGGAACTTCTTGCCAATGTTAACGCAAACGCAGCCTGCGAGTTTAAAGTGAGTTTTCAAAACTCTTAGCCCCCTGCCCCCCTCATTTTTGGTTGTAGAGCGGGTAAAAACCGGGAATTCACTGCAAATAATGCCCGAAACTAATTTCCAACTTGAGAAGGACCCTTGGAACGTTGCGACCAGTCGGAGCATTGACGTACAGGGACTGCCGCCCCCTTAAAGTACGGAAACATCCATAAAACCCTCGCTGCCCCCCTCATTTTTCGTTGCGGATCGGGTAAAAACCGGGAAAATCGCCAGAAATGATGCCCGAAACCACTGTAAAACTTGACGCGGACCCTTGAAACGTTGCGCCCAGTCGGAGAACTGCAACACAGGAATTGCCGCGCACTTTAAGGATGGAATCATCCATAAAACCCTTCGCTGCCCCCCTCTTTTTTCATTGCAGAGCTGGTAAGAACCGGGAAATTCGCCAGAAATGATGACCCGTTGGTTTTATGGATGTTTCCGTACTTTAAGGGGGCGGCAGTCCCTGTACGTCAATGCTCCGACTGGTCGCAACGTTCCAAGGGTCCTTCTCAAGTTGGAAATTAGTTTCGGGCATTATTTGCAGTGAATTCCCGGTTTTTACCCGCTCTACAACCAAAAATGAGGGGGGCAGGGGGCTAAGAGTTTTGAAAACTCACTTTAAACTCGCAGGCTGCGTTTGCGTTAACATTGGCAAGAAGTTCCACTCGGATTTGATGCTAAGTTTGAAGCACTTCTGTGACTTTTCGTATTTTAATGCAGTTTTTCATTGTAACAGACCCATTCCCCCCTACGGGGGGCCTGTGGTGGCCCGGGGGCAATATGAAGACTTCGGTATCAGACTTAGAGTATTCGAGGACTCTTTGAAAAGAGAAACGGTATGTCCAAGAGCCGCCGAAGCTACTCTAAAAAATGAAGATACGGACCCCTTAAATAACCTTTGGACCCCCCTAACTTTTGATAGGGGGGTCAGATCGACTTCCGAATTGCGCTAAAAATTTTCTTTTTTCATGCTCTTTCTAACGATGTATCACATGATGGGGGTTGCCATTTGAAATTTTCGAGTTGCCCCCCGCCCCCCCTCCCCCTGGGGGGGATGAAGAACTGGAAAGTACCTCGAAAAGTTTCCCCCTCGATATGAGGAAGGACGCCACAAACCGCAAATCGATATCATAATTAGAACTAAAGTTATGGCCACAGTGGTGCGTAACTTTTGAATAACCCTGTAGATGTAAAGATGTGAGCAAAACAACAACAATCATAGCGGTCACTTCCTCACGGCCGCTTTTCCTCGCCTCAGAATTTATTATTGTACTTTCACTTCGGAAACTGAACCAATCTCAACGAAAAATACGTCAAAAAATAATATATAAAATAAGCTACACGTTATGAATCCGATTTTGGAAATTTTCGCCAGGAATTTTACGTAAGAGGCTATTTACTGGTCGTTTCAGAAAAACGACTGGTGGTGCTCTTTCCGCGGATAAAAGTTGTCCCTAGATCACTTGGAATCACCTTAAAAGTGATTGTGAACTGGTCAACTTTTTTTTCATGCTTTTCAAAAACTGTGATTGGTCAATATATATAAAAGTTATGACTTACCATTTCCTTTTTAAGAATAGCATTTTCGGCGAAGAGTTTACGTACATTTACATCTTTTCCTCGAAGTTGTGCTTTCAATACTTCGATTTGGCCTTCTTTTTTAGAGATGTCTCGCTCTAGTGATAAGATTTTCGCCTTTACCGTTGCACATGGATCATTTGGCTCCTGTCCAGGAGGTTCAACAAAACAAGTTAAAAGACGCGTTGGTAGATGGGAATCGTTGCCATTTTCGGCTGTGGACCTTGCCATGATTTTATTTTAATTCATTGTTTTTTCTTGTGAGCGAATGATATGTTCTGTAGTGTATTTTTGGAATTATGGTGATACCGTCGATAATTCAAAACTGGTCTGTGCTTTAATCTTGTATTGAAAAAAATGTACTTAACGTTTAAAATCTGAATTTTCAAAACGACAAGTTTTCGCGCTTTTTTGGGAGAATGCCGTGGTTGGAGCCTCCTAGTCGTACTACTTCATGGACGGATTCGTCCCTAGCGGCGTTGTTGTATATTAATGCCTGAAATGCTAAGTCGGGTCCTGTTCACTCGATTTTCGTGAAATTTGGTATCCGGGGGTATTATTCAACGGGAAATTCGAAGTTTTGGTCAGATTTTCAAAATCCAAGATGGCAGCCGTGGCCTAAAATACTAAATCGGCTCCTGTTTGATCGATTTTCGTGGAACTCGGAATCCGCAGGTTTTTTTCAACGGGAAACTCGAATTTTTGATCAGATTTTCAAAATTTCAAAATCCAAGATGGTGGCCGTGGCCTAAAATGCTAAATCGGCTCCTATTTAATCGATTTTCGTGAAATTTGGTATCCGGAGGTTTTTTTCAACGGGAAACTCGAATTTTTTGTCAGATTTTCAAAATTTCAAAGTCCAAGATGGCGGCCGTGGCTTAAAATGCTAAGTCTGTTGATTGAGAATGAGGACAAAGATAACATATTCGCCACTATTCACCATACTTCGTTAAAAAAAGTAAATTCGTTCAGGGTAGGAGGGCTATCGCTAGGTTAAATTGAGTCCTTTGGGACCAAAAGATCTCCAAAGAGAACAAAAGAAGGATCTACAACGCGACTGTCAAGAGCATAGTAACCTACGGGTGTGAAATATGACCGATGAAACAGCGAGGTTTCAGGGAGGAGCCGGGAGGTTTTAGAGGCACCAGAGATGGACTTCTGGCATAGATCCGCTGGTATTTCCAGAAAGGATCGCGTCAGGAATGAGACGGTTCGGGAGATTATGGATGCCAAACAGACCATCGGGCATAAAATTGTGACAAAACAACTTATTTGGTATGGTCATGTTCAGACAATGACAGGATGAAACCGGTTGCCGAAGAAGGTCCTTGATTGGGTTCCCCCTGGGAAAAGGCGCAGAGGGCTCCCGATGAGGGGTTGGAGGGAGGGGGTTGAAGCAGAAATGTTAAGGTGCTCAATGCTCCAAGGCTTGTGGTTCGACTGAGAGCAGTGAAGGTTAGGAGTCGTAGAGTGCGAGGGAGTGCTATAACGCGACCTTTATGTATATGTATGGTACGTGATTTAAAGGAAGACAACCTCATGGGTGTCCTGCGATTTTCACATTAGACCAAACTTGTCGCTCTTTTTTCGGTCCTGCACTTGTTGTATTGATGTATCCTTCCGAAAAAAAAATAAGATTTTTGTACAAAATTTCGGCTCAATCCAAAAAATGTCACTAATTTAAAGCGTCTGGAACACGCCCGGCAACGCACTTGACACGGGCTTGCTCTGAGGGCGTAAAAAGCGTAAATTTAGAGGGCGCCTAAAAGGCAAAGTCTTTACCAATAATCCGCGAATTTTAGGAGCCACGGATAGCTCACTTGGTAGAATGATAACAAGACAACTATCAGGAGTTGTTGAGATTTGATTTAATAATCATAGGCAAAGTACACGAATCAAATTCAAGAACAACGAAACCAAAAAAAACACAACTAAATCTTCTTCAAAATCTTCCAAACTTCCAAAAACTCTCCAAAACAACCGAAACTCAAAAAGAGACAAAAACTACAGCTAGCACACCAGGACTTGGCGGGAGGCAACGGTCGGTTGACTCTATGTTGCTGATCCTCTATGCCGGGGGTCTCGCAGAGGCTGCTGACGGATTTTCACTCAAAACGTCGACGGAAGGGTTGAACCGCACACCAGGACTTGGCGGGAGGCAACGGTCGGGCGATTCTATGTTGCTGATCCTCTATGCCGGGGATCTCGCGGAGGTTGATTCAACACAGCCGAAAAACACTTTCAGGACGCGGGGATGGTGTTTTACGTGCACCTGGGCATTACACAGAATCGCGACATTTCCCGTCCCGGCGAACAAGAGCAACTGACTTTAGAAATTTTCTGGAAAACGCGCGTCACCGTAAACCACCGCTTCCTACGTCCCGCACGTCCTGCCCCTTTACGCCAATAGCATCTCACGAAAAGTGCTGATTAATCTAGGGCTGACCGCGGTTCACACGGGATACAAGAGCAAAACCTACCTAACCTATGATGTCACAATATTTCCTCCTCGCTGAGCCGCTGTCCGGCGAGGGATCCCACCACAGTGCTCCGGCGTGCGATCTGTGCTATTCTCCCAGTACAAGGACAACATAAATAATTTTTAGGTTTAGGGCTCAATTTTCGTTTCATCCCCCACCGTTCGCAGAAACGCGCGACCCCGCGCGTTTGGAATGGTTCTTCTCCCGGGGGGGGGGGGGCACCTATGGCGAGAATAAAAAAACAATTCACACTATCCCTGCACTTGGGAAACAGCGCAATCACATCAGCGGAAACACTATGACATCATAAGTCAAGTCCGGCTCCCGCACCTCGCGCGAACCGGCCAGTCCCAGACTGACCACCACATTTCGAGAGCTAATCTAAGGAGACGGGCTATCCGATAAAAATTGACCGTGAAAACGTTTACTCTGCACATGGATCAGTCTGTGTGACAAAAGTGGACCTAACCTTCCTCGACCTAACCTAACCTAACTCGAGGTCTTGTCGAGAAATGCTGATGCCTAGTTTTTTTCGCGATGAGACTGGGGCCTCTTTCAGTGTGAGAGTGTGCATTTTAACAAGCTTTGTCTCTACTCATAAAGCTCCAGGATCAGGAGATTAGATACTTCGGTGTTACGGAGCGTTTACCGCTGACTGTAGATTTCCTCTCTCTTTGAGTCTCGGATGTCGGAGTGGATCTATGGTGTAGAACTAGGCCTAGACTGAGGATGCCAAAATATTTCTAGTTTGTTGAAATATAAATACAGAGTCAATAAACATGTCACTTATACTGGAAGAAGAAGAAAAATAATGACTTTCTTCAATTTTTGTCAGAATACTAAAGATAAAAACCATAGTTTCTTTAAGCCTCTACTTAACTAGGGAAATTTTGTAAGTTTTTGACAATTTTTTTTGTCGAGGCAAATCTCCATTATTAGTGCCTATTTAGCAACCACTTTCTTCACTGTAAATCTCCGGCAAGATAGTTTCTCGCTAAAAAGAACTGCTAAAAAGAACTACGCTCCACGCAAACCCTATGCACATATTAAATTTATTTACAGCGCGTCTTCAACTGGAATTGGCTTGTAGAATTATTTGCTGATGCGGCTGAAAGAAAAATTATATTTTGGTCTTCGTAGAATTAAATAGACATAGTGAGCACAGTTTGAGCATCAAAGACAAAATATGTTAAAGATTGTTGTTTGCGAGAACCAAACATCTATTTTACATTGAGAGAATTTTATGCATTTGTGATAATCATTTAAGGAAAATATGAGATGACATACCATTAAGACATTCTTTTAAGAAAGTATGGATCTAGACAGCAACAATAGCCTGATAACACAATTTTCAAGTCTAGTGTGGAGTTGATATAGGTAAAGGGTTCAATAAATGAACATGAATAATCATGATTTGCCTTATCATAGATTTGTTTTGTTTTGTTTTGTTTTTTTTTTGACGGTAAGGTGTGGTTACCACTTATTAATGAGAAATGATTTTCTCCATTCAATTGAGACAAGACACTTGCTACAAATTTTTGCGTAGAAGGACCATAATTTTATGTTGAGATAAATGACATTCCGTAACAATAAAGTAACTGAAGCCGGACAGCGTTTAATAGCTTGCTACGACAGTTCTACAATATCTAAAGTAGGATTGATGTTAACGGAGACAAGAGGTACGACAAAATTTTACGTTCCGTAACAATAAAGTAACTGGAGCCGGACAGCGTTTAATAGCTTGCTACGACAGTTCTACAGTATCTAAAGTAGGATTGATAATACGGAGACAAGAGACACGACAAAATTTTACGTTCCGTAACAATAAAGTAACTGGAGCCGGACAGCGTTTAATAGCTTGCTACAACAGTTCTACAGTATCTGAAGTAGAATTGATGTTAACGGAGAGAAGAGATACGATACAATTTTAGATCAGAAATGTGTAGACTCACGACTAGAAGCGTTTGATCAGACGACAAGACAATATGAGGGACGTTTAGCTGGACACACAGGACAGACATGATGCGACGGACAGACAGACAGGGAGACGAGACGGACAACTTGACCAAGACTGACAGTTTTGACTTGGACTGGACGTATTTGACGATAGACAAAATTGGTGAGGGCCATTTCGGACGCTATGCTTTACGTGACGCATGGACTTGACTAAAAATTTTGACGGATTGACGATTTCAACTTCGCCGGCCAGGTTGGCCTAGTGGTTAGCGCGTCTGACTCTAGGTCAAAAGGTCCCGGGTTCGAATCCCGGTGGTGGCGACAAATTTTCATGGAACTGACGAGTGGATCTGTAAGCAGAATTCGCTCGGCCTTAATCCGTGAAAATTTGTAAGCCCGAGCATGGATGTCTACCAAACTCCCTGATGTCTTCGGACAATAAATAGTGCCTATAGATGGCTGTAGATTCCTAAAGGAATAGAAGCCACTAAACTCTCAAAAAAAAAAAAAAAAAATAAAAAAAAAAAATAAATAAAAATAAAAAAAAAAAGATTTCAACTTCATAGCACGAGGGACGACTTGATCAGCTTGACATCGGCCTGACAGTTCGCGGAAGTTTGAGGTTAGAAAGTTCGGGACGAAAACGGACGGTAAATTGTACACTTGCGTTCGCGGAAGTTTGAGGTTAGAAAGTTCGGGACGAAAACGGACGGTAAATTGTACACTTGCATACACACAATCACTTAGCGCGGGTAGTGTTAGCGACTAATATTGACGGAGAGAAAAGAAAATGGACCCTACACCTGACACCATGTTAGGGTCATCCCCTGACATAGAGTACATAGAGTCGTAATGTAAATGGGAGAGCTGGCGCCATGTTCTGCTCGACGAGTTCCGAGCCCGGTGTGCGCCGAGTTCGGGTCACTTTTTCGATACATTTTCGATCCAAAATGGCGGTGTGGAATACATGGTGATTCCTATCTCCTTCGTTGTTGTTGTTGTTGTCATCGGATGGCCGGGTACCCGTGTATCGCAAACAATCGATTATGTATCGAAAAAGTGACCCGGCGTCACACAGGAGTCTCGGAATTCGGGACATGGAAAATGCTTAAAAGTGGCGCCAGCTCTCCCAATTACATTACGACTCTATGTACTCTATGTCCCCTGAGGGGATGAGAAGATTGGACACGAGATATTCCACGGATGCAGGTGTGATGACAAACTGTATTGCGAGATGCCAAGTCCGACATCCCCGGACAGCCAGGCGACAGTGCTGCCTCAAGTGGCAATTTATAGAAGTACTTAACATAACATCGTAAACGAGCTAAGAATATCTTCAAGAGGATTTGTGCAAAATTTCAAGCAAAAATATGCATTTCCGTCCGAGTTACAGACTTTACGCCGCCCCAGGGTCTGTTTTTTCCAACTGTGCGCGGCCTTCAAATCATTAACTACAATGTTTTTTCAAAGGGGAAACTATTGCATATCCATTCAGTTTGCTTGCTGATTTCCATTCTCATCCATCCTCGTAGGAGCTAGGAAAGAATATGAAAATCTAATTTACTGCGCCAGGTAGTCCCGGAAAATTCCCTTCTTTTTACGCCTTCCTAAATGATTCAAATACAACGATGGAGTGATTTTTTTAAGGGAAAACCATTGCATGTCCATTCAGTTTGGGTGCTAATTTCCATTCGCATCCATCCTTGGAGCTGGAAAAAATTATGTAAATCACAATTCACCGCGGGCAATCCCGAAAAATTCCCCACTTTTTACTTCCCTATAAATGCTTCAAATAAAATGATGAAGATATTTTTCACGGGAAACCCGTTGCTTGTCTCTTCGATTTCGGCTGCTGAAAGCCACGCAGGCATCCTCGAAATACGGATAACCGCGCTCTTTCACCGTAATTTGGTACCTATCGACGGTTACGTAAAAGCTACGTTAACATACTTTAGTTAGATTTTTTTTTTTTAAATTTATTTATTTATTCAGTAAGAAGTACAGTGAATATATATGTAGACAAACAATAATCTATATGCTTACAACTATTCTAATCTTGTTTATGGAATACATTATCTGATTAATTAAGTAGTTTATATGCATGCTTGTTTACATCTTAATTATCCTAGACCTACTTTAGTTAGATTAGAACACGTATGGATATTTTTCACAAATCGGCATATGCTTTCTTCTATCTTCGTAATTTTCTTTGTTCAATTAATTTAAAAAATGGAATAGTTTAATTTAGTTCCTATTTTACACGTCTGTTCACAGAAATTCCTGTCAGGAAAGCTATGGATTGTGAGAGCCCGAAGTGCAATTGAAGATGTTGAAAGGCGATTCAAAATAGCAAGAATTACACTCTCAAATGAAGAGGCAGAAGGTGCTACCGACGACTTTGAATACAGGAGAATACTTAGAGAAAAACGCTGGAAAATGATCTTTAAAATTCATAAGGGCAACTGGGAGATACGTGAGATAATAACTAAGATTCAAAGCAAGAACAGCGATGTGAAAGCGTTAGACGATTTTGCAAGCGACATTTCTGTGGCTTACTCGTTATTATCTGATGACATTCACAGTAATGTGTTCACAAAGGGTACGATGACCGATCCGATATTTACTGCACATTTAAAGAAAAATACAAAAGCAAGTTCTGCGGTCCAATTGTTACTGTCCTTGCTTGATTTAGAGCCTCCCGGCCACGCGAGAAAAAAACGCAATGCCAACCCTAGTACCAGAGAAAATTAACGGTTAAACCGATGATGGAGAGACTAACAAGAATAGAGATCAATGTAAACTAGAAATTACAGTTAACATGTGTAAATTTATGTTAAAAATAGCTAACAGAAATCATGGGTTTCTTTCTCGTTAAAAATGGGAATAAAGCAGGAAAGATAATATCAGTCTATATGAATTTTACAATNAAACTCTTCCACTTTGTAGTCCTAATTGAGATGCGTCCGTAGACACCAAGATCGTAGGAATCCGTGCCGTCGTTTGGGCTGCAGTCGAATGGCAATCGAATCAATTTTCAAGTTAAGGGAGTTGCCTGTGACTAAGAGTGTCGGCCACCCGTTTGTTATCGGGACTTTAGTAGGACGTCATTTTCCTCGACCGGGGGTGGCTACCGCCACTCTTGATTTTACAATTGCTGACGGTACGAACAATCATTTGATGAAAGGTTAGCACTATTTATGCTGAAGCTAAGGATGATATTTTGTGACTTTTAGCTATTAGTTCAATAACATTATGAAATATGATTGAATGCACTCTTAATAAATTTACTTTTACATGAACGACTTTTGTACATCAGTGTTCCGTTTAAAAAAATATGTCTTTTGCACGCAAGGACTGCAGATATTAAAGTTGAATCTAGTACAAAAACAGAATAAAGTTAGAAAAGGATGGTAGAAACTAGCATTCTGATATGATACAGATTTTTTGTAGGAAGGCTTAAAAATTTAAAAACTTTTATGTTCGTTAAAAAAAACCTATGTTTTGAAGTACGGTGAACTTCAAAGTTTCTACTTGGGTTGATTGATAAACATTCCCCAAATAAGAGAATGGATATTCAACTTTCAACAACCTTTATTTTTTTGTTGTTGATTCAAATGTTTATAATAAAGTTCATAAAAAACAAAAAAAATAGATAACACCCCATAGAAGAACGAGCTGAAGGCATGGGTGGGGACCGGAAAGGAAATTCAAATGGGGATTATAAACTGGCAGACTAGTAACACCTTTAAATACTGTTATAAAGTTCAATGTCGGAACAAGGGAGTTCTTACTGAAATTGCTTCGGCACCAGTTGGGTTCTGATAATCCAACGAACTACGATAGATGAAAATAAAGAAACGAAATTTTGAAATGGAAATTTAGAACTGTATTGAGACCGAAAAATAGAGAGAGTTACTGAATTACACAGATTTGTCACACTTAAAATAATGCCAAAAGAGCGAGAGTGGCATAACGTAGTATACTACGGGTCAGGGATTCTAGGTGGCGGTATAGCCACCCCGGCCCAATCCTAAAAAATCCCCCTAAAAATTTGACGACCTAAAGAAAAAAAAAAAAAAAAAAAAAAAAAGACGGGTGGCTGCTGCCTAATTCTAGGTGGCGGTAGCCACCCCGGCCCAATTCCTAAAAAACCCCCCTAAAAATTTGACGACCTAAAGAAAAAGAAAAAAAAAGACGGGTGGCTGCTGCCTAACTAGTTTTACACGAAACAACGCGACCGGGCTTTTCTGCACGGTTTGCGGTCCATTAAGCTCTCCTGCTCAGGGGCGGACTGGCCATGGGGGCGGGGAGGCGATCGCCTCCTAACAATTTGCTGCGGAGGTCTCAAAGGGGCTCCCGCGGCGAATTTTTTTCGAGTCATCGTTTTTCCCCGTAATGTTGTAATTTTCCTATCCTTCTCAGTCACTAAAAGGCCCCGAAATCCTTGAAAATGTGTCTCTAAGAGACATGAAAGGTCGCCTATAGCTTACGTGATGAAGGGACCCCCGAAGAATCCTGAGAATGGGATATTTTGAAGTTCAAGTACTATAGAATCCAACACCAATAATGTTTAAAATTGCGTTTAAAAAGTGTGAAATTTTCAAAAATTTTCGGGGGAGGGCCCCCGGATCTTCTTAGAGGGGCCCCCGAACGACAGGAGGGGCCCCCACATCTAGGTCGCCTCCTATTTTTTCGACTACCAGTCCGCCCCTGCTCCTGCTAATTAAGTCGTCGAGTAAAGCCCGAAAACCCTGTAATATTTGGGTAGAGTATGCTCAGCTCTACTCGTAATGCCTACCCTTTTTAAGTTTAGTTAAATATTAAAAAAGTTATTGAGCTTTAACGACAAATTTTGGACCCCAAAACTTGACGATCGTTTTTGACGACATGGACCCCCAAAAGATGACAATGATGGAATTGTTGAGCAGATACGGGGCCCGCGAAACGTTTGGTCGCGGGAGAGACCATCGTGTTTTGTTCACTGACATTACAGCTATAGGTACCGTAGAAAAAAACCCCATACAAGTATAGATATTTTGAAACTACTATTAATTATCCCAATACATATCGCTGCAAATTTGAAATAAATGAGACATAAGGGAGAACGATTGATAATTAAGTCGTTTATTGCTGTTCTGAAGGTCGGATCTGTTGGCATAGCTGTGGAGGTAAGGGTAGCATAAAACCCATCAAACTGGGTATAATTAGAATCTGTAAACGCCAAGGATTAAACCTTTGAAAAGTTTGCGGACTTATATGGGCGTCGAAAGGAGAATTTATTGAAAGAAGGAGCGGGTCCTTCAATTTTTCAAAACAGTCAGAATTTGAAAACAACTTGTAGAACCGCGCGATGGATGGTGAGCGCCGACTCCCGAAGTTAAATTTCAGGTTATGTTTATGTCATTCCGGTTTTAAATATTTAAATAATAAAAATAAGATGGATTAATCGATGTAGTTTCTATCTATTTTATCCTAGCCGAAGATAACTGGATCCATTTCTATATAACCCTTTTATGATTCCCGCACCCTTGATAAATTTAGTTGTCACTGTGAGTACTCGGATCAACCTGCCATTTCTTCCCAGCGGCCCTGATCTAGTGATCTTTTCAAGAAATTGTTCATGAATGATTGATGATATCCCACTATAGTGAGTCCTAGATACTATTTCTCGTTAATCAGATTCAGCAACTTTCCACCAGAAAATCATCCTTTCCCTCAATACGATGCTGTGTGTCGGGGATCTCAATCGGTGGGAATGAATCTGCGTTTCCACTTTTTAATAACATTTTGCCAGCAGCGGAACTCCTCTGGAATTGATCTGTCTCTTCTCAGTATGCTACTGGTGCGTAAAGCCTCAATGTTTCCATAGACTTGTAACGCTTTATATTGGAAAACTGGCTTACACATTCACCCGTCAGTCGGGCGTTTGTGTCTACTTAAAGCTTCACTCTGTTGTTGCCCTTCGTCGAACGAGTATAATGAAACCAACTGAATGCCACAAAATCAAAGATACTTGACTTCAAGCATTACTGTTAATTTGATTATTAGCAAGTCTCCTTGATTCTGTGTCAGAAGTTGATTGAATCGTCTCATTTGCCTGTATTTGGATAAAATTCTTCAAATCAAGGTCTTTCATATTGACCTCTGCAGAAGGTATGTATCTACAGGCTACTATTTCATTGGTTTGATAAAATTGAGATGCTATAACTAATGCAGGATAGCCTTCCTTGGTGATTGCCTCTCTATACTTCGGCTAAAATTTGCAGAACCTGGAGACATACTTGCCGCCACTGCTTACCACATACATATAGGAGATAATACAGAGCGGCTGTTCAATATAAAACATCAGTGCCTCTTCACTTCTAGATTATCTGAGTCCTCGCCTAACTACTTTACCCACTAAAAGAGTGCGACAGAAAATTAGCTGTTTCATTTAGCATGGAAAATGGATACAAGAATTAATTCTCTAGCACACCCTGAAAGTGCATTAAAACTCTTAAGATGAGGACTTTGGATGACCAGAACTGGCAGAATAGTGGAAGCTATCGATTGAGACTGAGGCGACAAAAAATAATAGTTGTGATTAATATATTTTGGGCTGCAACAGCATGAACAGAGCATCGTCTTTGACGGAGAGTGGGCAGTGAATCCTCGAGTTGAGAAATCTCTAAAAAAAAAAAGAAAATATTGATACCTACTTACCACTGCCCTTTGCCTGCCACTGTATTGATGTGAGAGTTACCTGAATCGGATGGTTGTAGGATCTTCCTGGCAATTCCCAGCGTAGATATGATACCTAGTGCTCTACATAATTAACTTACCGGCAGAATCATTCGCTCAATAGAATCGTATGAGAGGGATCACATAGCATAGGATATAAAATTAAGCCTTGAATATAGGTGATGTTTAAACTTTAACCTCTGGTTCTCGGTCTACGGTACGAAAGGGACGGACTAATACAGAAGAACCATACATGACAAGTGGCTCCTAAGTTGTCATTTATTTGAGTCCTTAGCTGAAAAGTTCATGCCTGAAGGTGTGACAGAAAATGGACTGTTTTTTCCATCCTTGAAAGTAAAACAAAGAATCAAAATTGTACTCTCCGTTTTACCCTTATAGTGCGTTGAAACTCAATTGCAGCCGACTCTGCATGACCAGAATTGGCAGATACAGACTCATAAAAATGAAATGTTATTGAAAGGAAAACCAAAAATTAAAGTGGTATTCTCTGTTGTACCCTGATAACGCACTGAAACTCAATCGCTGTTGACTCTGTATGACCAGCATTGGCAGATAAAGGCTCCTGAAAATGAAATGTTATCAAACTGTTTCATTACCGTTCAGAAGATTCATGCTATTGAGATCGAAATTTCAGTTGTGGTAACTGTAATTTTTGCTTGCGGAAGCATCAACTCTTACTGTTTATCCATAGAGAAAAAAAAGGAGGTGTTTGCATTTCGGGCATCTTGGAATTTTTTGATGACTTGATGACGTAGGTGGGTACAGTGTGAAGGGGACGTCCCTGTACCTAGCTGTACCCACCTACGTCATCAAGTCATCAANGAGACATCTCTCATAAAACTAAAAATATTGATAAATACTTACTTTGCTTACTGTCTTTATGAGACGGTATCACGCGTTTGCAATGTTATTTCTGATGATGAAATTGGAGCTCGGAGAAATTGCGATTCGAATGGTCAAAGGACCTGGCAGGCATAACTAGGTATAAGCAGCGTAAATGATACAGGTCCTGCACTGAGCTGCAGAATTTAGCTTGCATTCTATCATTAGTTCCAAGAATCCAAAAAAAAAATGTTGGATAATGTAAGACATAAAAGGTATCCCTTAACACAGGTGATGCCTCTAATGTAAATCCTGGTTTTGTGCCTACTGTAC